CTGCTGGCCGAGCCGACGCCGACTGCCGGTTTAGTCGACCCGCAGTCTGGTCCAGACCGGTTCGGACCGGCTGGACCGGTTCAGTCCCGTTTTTTAATCGATTCGGTCCTTATGTTATGATTTCAGCCCGGTTCACAATTTTAATAGTATTTTCAGATAATATTCCGGGATAATTTCAGTTTAGTAAATTCATGTCCGATCAGTTCATGTCAGTTCAGTTCCGGTTATTCCGGTTAAGTCTAAATATCATGTCAGGTTCAGTAGAGCATCTTAACGAAATTAATCAGTTAATTTAACAGTCTGAGCATAGTCATTAGTAATTGTTTATATTATTTTCAGTTTGATCAGGCATCAGCACTACCGTTAAGTTTCAGCAGTTCAGGTGGGGACTCAGACTACGTACTACATTGATTATACTTATGGTACCATGTTTGAGGTATGTATTTCATGTGAGGTATCCGCTCGGAATGGTCGCCGGTCCATTCTGGGTTCTAGTGGCCCTAGTCTGCCCACTAGAGTGTGCACATGGTGTCCGACATTAGTTTTTGCCGGCAGATGAGGTAACGGTCAGGGTCACGTTGCGTGACGATATCAGATTCATGTTCATGTTATTACCGGTTTCATGTTGAGGTTATGTATATGCCGATATCATGATGTTGTTATTATTTTCAATGTTTACATTAGTATGAGTTTCCACGGAGCACAGTGCCATAGTGCTCATTTCCCACTTTTATCATGTTTTTCTGGTCAGGATGTCGGGCAGTGAGTGTGAGCTGACGAAGGCTTCGGGACTTTTATATTTTGACTGTATATGTATATTGACGATTTACGTTTCCGCTGATGACGACTTTTGACGAACTTATATTTTGACGGGACTTTTGGAGAACTTTATGCTTTCAGCAACAGTATGGTTTTATTAAAAATTTAAGTAACGGTTTTCCAAATTAAGTCATGTTTTTAAGGTAGCACCCCGAATCAATTTTCGCAAAGTAAAAGGTTTGATTTTTTAAATAACTTTGCGAAATTTTCGCACTCTGATTTTACGATAAGGCGGGGTGTTACAAATGGTATCAGAGCACGTTTCTGCGTCTCTTACAAGTTTTTCAGTCAGTAATTTTTCAGAAAAACCTGAACCGTCAT